ATTTAGTTTTTTATATAAGTTCAGGTTTTTTCCTCTAAAGAAAGCAACATTAATTTCTTGACAACCTAATATTAAGTTACTTTTTTATTTCTAAACTGTTGATGAAAATATGTGCAACATAATATGAAACCTATTTTACGCTGAAAGTACAATTAATACTGTTGCTTGGGTTTCTACCTCCCATATCTTCGCACTAAAATATTGCCAATATAAGAAGGGGCTCTATAAGACTGAGAAAAGAGTATAGGATAGTTATGGAAAACTGCAGTATTTATTATTACATATACTAATTCTTCATTAAAATCAGTTATTGAAAAAAAAACAAAGAGCATAGCTTTGTTACAGAAAACTGGGATATCTGATTTTAGTCCACTATTACAAAAGTTAGAATTTTCCTTACTTGGAAATGTATTTCAGATAGCTATCACCTGAGTGCTAGCATCAAAGATTTTGCACATGTGCCAAGCTTTTGAATGAACTCTCACCCTACACATAATACTGTAAACTGTGGTAGTTTATTATGTCCATACCTATACACCAGTATGGGGGCAAAAAATCTTCCTTGCACAATACTTCCCTTGAGAACTTTGTGTAAACCAAAAGCTCATTCTTCATGAGGCACATAGACTCACAATGAAAGTGGGGAGGTTGAGTTGATGATTCTGTGGAGAGAGATATCTTAAGGTAAGGAAAATGTTAAGTTTAGAGTTTACTCACCTCTCCACAAAATAAATAGCCAGAACTCACATTAAGAAGATGGTGGAGGGACGTGTATAAAGAAAGAAGATGAGCTCCTTTTTTAGAATATAGTATCAGAAAGGGAAATTTCATGGAGTGTATCTCATACTTTGGGGAGTTGCTAGGGAGCATCTCTCAGTGAGAGACCACATCCATTTCAAGCAGGGAATATCCTATAAAAAGAGTCCTTCCTATTCTTTTTTCTTGTTTTTTTACTGAAGTACTGCAAAGGTGGGCAGGATGTAATGGCTCTTCATCCAGCAGACCATATAAATGAACTATGGCTAGAGCAATGTGTCAAGCTTTATGGTAAGTGAGAAATGCTTAAAAGAATATGCAGGGTCAGGGGACTCATCTCAAACTTACCTTCCAAGGACAAATCCTCCATCCCCCCAGTGATTTTGTACTGGAAAATCTAAATTTCTCTCACTCATTTAGAAGTTGAGATGGAGAAATTCACATTGGGGAGAATACCCTTTTTTTTTATCCAGTACAGTTTGGAGGTAAAATTTAGATACCACAGAAGCAGTCTTCCAGAAAACCTTGTCTTAACAGTAGCTACTAAGCAAGGCCAAATGGGCTTGAAGACTTTGTGATATCACCTACTTACTGCAAGTTTTAGGATAAAGAAGTATTTCCTATATGTCAGTCAGTACCAACCACTCTCTCAACCCCTTCTTCTTTTTCATTGTTATTGTTACTTTTTCTGGTGGTGGTGTATGAACAACTCACCTCCTTAGAGTCTTTGGGAAGATTGGTGACTGGAAAAAGACAAAACCCCAGAGGCTGGAGAGAAAGTAATGTGATGTAAGTAAAAAATGAGACACAAAGGTGTCTAGGGTCGTCCACATCCTTACCTGCAGGATTTCCTCCAGAATACATTGATGGTAAGTAGAACTACAAGATGGTGAACTTCATGGGAGGTAACATTAAAAAGATGAAAATTTCACTTCTCGAGGAGAAATAGACAAACCAAATGGTTTAACCCATCTGGTCAGAGTGGAAGGATCTCGGGAAGCAGGAAGAAAGAAAGTCAATTACCTCTAAAAGATCAGCAAACACAGTAATAATCTTGTACTACTTGCACAGAACAAATGAGATGATTGGATCTGGGCAGCCCAAGTCTTGAGGAGGATGGAGCAATCCAGAAAAAAAAATCAACCTGTTCCAATAACGTAAAAAGCAAAAATTTATTTAATACTTATTAAGTTGTCTATAAAAATAGGATCAACTGATTTTTCTAATATACACAGACAGATCTTTTGAATAGTTGTATTGTGTATTTTAAAAAATAATCAAAGAATAATGAGAATGAAAAAAACTTCTTTTTCATGAGAATTTTTTGAATGATTGCTTCGTGCCTTTAAATTCAAATATCTTTCATTTTATAACTTAATTTGTTAATATTTCTGGGATTTGTTTTATGCATATTTGAAAGTAATTTCTGTTTCAGCACCTTACTACACTCGTTGGTGTACCAAGTGAATCATTTCAATTCATTGAAAAACTTCCACTCTTAGAATCTTTGGCAATTGGGAACTGCTTTTCTTGGACCAGAGAGGTAGGCCTAAACTTTTACAGTAGACAGACAGTTAATGCTAGGTGTATTAGTTGACATTATGATCTAAAGAAGAAAAAAAACTATTATTTTATTGTACCTTAAATTATTATCCTTGAAAGTAACACTTTTCAGAAATGCATTTCAAAGTGCTTGAATATTCTACTTATGAATATTCATTAATGTTTTTTATATATAAAGATATTTTTACATTAGTTGGTAGGAAAGTTCAAAAATTGCATGAATTGCTATTATTCAGAACATTTCTGGTCAAATATTGTCAATGGAAGTGTATATACATTGCATAAACTGCCCTTCTATACACCAAATAGCAAACGACAGTAGATCAATTTGCCCAGCACGATCATATAATGCAGTAAGATAATGAAAGATTTAAGTATTTGTTGCTATAATGGCATTACATCTAGTAATGAAATATTTAAATATATAACTAATTGTTTTTAACATATTCAACATTTTACAGAACACCCCTATGAATAATGCCCCATTTAAATGGAAACTAATAAAACGTGTGTACCATTCTGTTTATTAACTTGAATATCGTGTATGTTATTAAATCACTTCACTTCAGTGCGATATAGTCGTGGGAAGAAACAACAGCTTTAGAATGAGGTAACTGTATTTCATCAATCAAAAGACTTGTTGCACGATGGAAGTTTTGGATTTTTGTGGACAAGTAACAAATATAAATAATGAGGTACTTAAATGTTTGGCACTGAGAAATTAATATTCTATTTTATTAGTGAACCTGGCATCAGCTTGATATTACTTTGAGCTTGCAAAACAGCAGTGCTAGTAAGACATGCTGCAATGTTTCAGCCATTTAAAAGCTATTGCAATAACATTAATAAATTAGAAGAAAAAGTAAATGAGATAATACTTATATAAAGTATTGATGCTGAGACAGATTGTCACAGATTTAAGATACAGAATCCCATCTCTATGTTGCATTTTAGATTCATAAAACGTTTATAATTCATGTTAGTGCAGAGATCATGAAAAGATACGAAGTTGTCCAGATTGTTGAAATAACTTTTATTCTTTTATCACTGAGACTGATCTTCAGTAGGGCATATATCTATTTTATAACATGATGTACATGCCGATTTGTCAACCTTGAATAGAAAGCACATGTGTGAATAGACCCCAAAAAATCGTAGCTCTGCTTATACCCCTATTAGAGGTATGAGAAACATACCATTTTCTTTTGTTGATAAACACCCATATATTCCATGGCAGCCACAAGAGAAAAGCAAAATAAAATATATAGTATATAACCCTGATGCTTACAGATGCTATAAGAACAAATATTTAGACATAGTTTGATTTTTTTTTTACAAAACTAACTAGATAATCATGGTATAATGTTTTAATATGAAGCGTACACAACTTGTTGCCATAAAATAATTACCATTATAATTTTTTACTTTTTGATTTAGATGTGCAATTTTATGTTTGAAGCAACTACCTGTAACAATGGTGGTATTTAAAAAAAAAAAAGTTAAAAATAAGAACTGTATGTGAATGCTTTTGCTGGTACTAAACTCCTCTAGCATCTAAATAAATAATGAAATAAGGATATTAAAAAAAAAACCTTCCTAATTTAAGATCACATTGTAAACAAAACTGTTAAAAACTGGGTAAATTAAGTGCCCACGCACACAAACACCTTTCACACTCATTTGCATGGTTTAAAAATAAATGATTAAATAGTACCTTGCATTGTCTTAACAAGATCAAAAGCCCAAGTGCATCATTTTGACAATATACAACAGGACAGAAGTTTGTTTAAAAGTTACTGGAAGACATTGTTAATTTTAGTCTGATAAATATTTTGTATTAATTATTCCAAACAAAATCATAAAATAGAAAAGATTGTAAGAACTTTTTTTTAACTTTTTATCAAGTGTTAAAAGGTAGCTGAAGGGCATTACAACATTAATAACATACTCTTCATATATATATTTATTTGGTCTTTAATGGTGTATCAATAAATTAGTAGCAAAAGGAAATTAAGGAAATTTTTTTTTCAGTATTAGAGAAAAGATCTAGAGCTTTAAAAGAAACACTTGTAAAGTAATGCTTACAATAATTGCAAGAAAAACTTGCATGTAAACTTTTCTTTTTCAGACATATGCACTTCTTGGAAAACTGAAACAACTCAAGAAACTGAGACTTGAAAAAGGAGGCCAGTTGCACGATACTAGCTTGCAGAATGCAATTTCAAATTTAACACAGTAAGCAAGTAACATATAGTGTATTGCTTATGATTCCTATGTTTAAATTTACTATTTTTTTACTGATTGATGTACAAACAATAAATGGTTAAAATGAACTTTTGACTTCAAAAAATTCAGTACTAAATTTTCATCCAAGTATTCCAATAAAAAAAAACAAACATTACTATACTTTAAATCATTGCACTTGCGTATCATTAAGTATTGATACATTTTTTACATGCTATATAGGTTGGAAGAACTACAACTACTATGTTTTGTGATACCAACCAGTCTTGGGTCTGGGTTACAAAAGTTGAAACATCTTAGTCGTCTTGTTATGTGGCCAGACACTTACAGGCAGGTGAGTACTGTTCTTGTGTATTTTCCTGTCTTTCCTCTTTGAAATTGATTCAGTTATTTATGTTTGTAAACTTGACTTTCATCTTAGTATGTGTATTTGCACAACCCAGTTCCACTTTGTCGTAAAAGTTATTGGAGGTTTTCTACAAAAATTGAAGCTCGTACAATAGATCTGAAAGTATATTTAACCCTTTTAACAGTAGCTTTCAAAGGGCTCTTAACAAAGAGAAATTAAAACCATTTATGAAGGTTTGAAAAGTAACTCAAAGTGAAATGTCTAGTATATAATCTTTCTTATCTACCTTTAATGGAGGTTATAGTGACCACGTCATTTGTGCATTTTATGTGAACTATTACATATTCTGGAACAATAAAATAAGCCTCCATTTAATTTTGCTTAAAGCATATTCATGTTACAAATAGTAGGTACAATTAATTATTTTGTTACTTGCAATGATTTTCTTCCCAGTTTTGGTTATTTAGAATGTCACTCAAAAGTGGATTCCATGATTTTCTGGTCGTGTTCTATAAAGAAATGCATTCATCATCAATGTCATTTTTCATATAAATGATCATGTGCATCTGTAATAATATTTCAGTTGTGTGTAATATAGTTATAAGTAATAGTAATATTACATTTTATTGTAATGTCAAACTTTATTTATTGTTGTTTCTTACTCATCCTTGCAGGCTCCTAAAGTAAATCAAAACACTTTAAAAGCTGTATCATCACTCACAAAGCTCAAGAAATTTAGCTGGGGAGTGATGTCGTCACAGTCAGATTTGGAAGAAATGACTAGGACAGAAGACAATGAGGATGAGGACGAACATAATGACCGGGAAATAAAGATGATCTCTTTATTACGACACAAAGAGAACTGCAAGTGTTCAGAAAGTGAAGATGGCAGCAGTGATATTAATCCTGAATGTACAGTGATGGTTCACTTAAATGAACTTGAACAGCGTTTAAGTAAACTATTTCCAAAGACCCGAATTACAGTTTTTCGAGTGCCATTAGAACGTTTTAGTGAGTTCTGCAGTGCTTTCAGATGAGTCTTTTTCACAGTCATTGCCATGAAGTTGGGTTGGGATCATTCCAAAGAAAAATGCTGCTATGAACACATGTAAAAGGTTTTTTTGTTGTTAGAGAAAAACGTGTTACAATCATGTTGATTTTGTACAAAGTGTTATAACTACTTTGAGAAAAAGCGTGTAAGTTAAGTTTTAGAAAGTCTTGTGTGAAAAGTTTTAATGATATTTTAACTCATCAGGTAACTTTCATATGTTGGTATCATGTCTGTGTATAAAACATGCATGTCATTCACTATTCCTGCACTGTGTATTGAAACATTTTACCGTTCAAATGAGTATTTTGTTTGATGATTAATTATTAACCATATTTTAAGAGTTTCAGTGAATAAAATCTTGAATGTTTTGTAAAACAGAGAGAATGGTTTTGATTTGCTGTAAAATAGACTTGGAAAATCTATAAAACAACCTAAAGAAATCACTGAGACCAAAACTTATAATTCATGGTTAAAGTTGCAAATTCTTTTATTTCATTCCTTTTACAAGATCTTTGATGTTCATCTAACAAAAAGACATCCACACTTTTTTGTTAACGACATGTGCTTGTTGTAATAATCCAGGTTTTGTTATGAAGTAAATTGAGTATACAAATTACTTTATTAAAAAAATGAAAAATCAGCAAAAGTTCAGTTTAACCACCTGAAATTAGCTGCACAAATTCATTTGTACTAAACTGATTGGACGTACAGTTTTATCTATACATACCGTAGAACATATCTACAGCAAAATAATTATACGAAATAAAAAACATTCAATCATCATCAAAGAAACAAATCTATGCTGAGATATAAATCGAATCTACTTCATCATTAAAAAAACATCTGATGTAAACTGACATTTTCAAATTAACATAATTGTTACATAAATATATTCTTTTTATATTTCAGGAACAAACTTCCATATTTGTAAATTATAAGTATTATTAAGATAAATTAAGGGATAAAAAGACCTTTTATGCAGTGATATTTTATAACCAAATGCCTATACATTTTATTTCAGAAGCTAATGTAAGAGTCCCATACTGATTATTTTAACAAAACGTATGTTAATACCTATAAAAAAAAAGTTTTGTTTAAGGCACTATACCATGATTCTAAATACAGGAACACTAATTACCTCATTTTTGTAAATATTTGTTAAACTGCCACTGAAAATTAACATAAATGTAAAGATGCTATTTTTATAAATCACAACCAAGAATACACTGGTATTCAACTTTCTGTAATAGTGTCATTAAAGCAACCTGTATATTTCTTATTTTATTTGACATGAGAGAACACTTGAAACTGAAGTTAAACTTGCTTGTAGATCCCATCAGAAATAAGATTAAATGATTTGAGGATCAAATTCAAACAAAAGGGATGATACTTTTAAAGATGCATTGACAACACAGAAAAATATTTCAATATTTATAGAAAGTTGTTGCTACACTGTTAATTATTAAGGGTAAAACTAGCATTAATGGTGGTCACCAAAAGTAGCCAGCTAAAATATTTAATAAAGAACATCTTTCATTCTACCAAAAACATTTTTAATATAGTAGCAGCATGTACCCAAGAAGAAATCACACTTAATATTTTAGAAATTGAAAGGAAGTATAATCAACTCTAAAATTTTCATTCTACAAATTATGCCAACAAAACAGCCAATACAAATGGGTTATATGTAGAATCCAAATGAAATTTGGAATCATATAAACTGAAATGTGCCTTTCCTTGTGAGCTTATAGATTAGGGTTTAACAGGCTTGAAAATTATGTTGATGACAAGAAATTAAAATAATTCTTTTTAGCACAGGGGTGATATATATATGTAGCTTGATGTAATTTCAGAATGTCAGCAGTGAAAACACTGACTAGTGTCTACACATCTGTTAATCAAGTTCAGAATTTAAGGAAGCCATAACAACTGAAGTCAACAAATGTTGGTTATCTCATAATAGAACATAAGACCAAAATATATTTCAGGGAAAAAATACATTTGACAAATTTTGGTTCAAACATAACACACATTAAGTTGCAACTTGAAATAACACTCCACTTTTCAGGTCAATAAAACACAAACTAAGTTTTGACCAATGCTATATTTTATGAACCTATTCATCACTTTAGAGAAGTAAGTGATGTTTTTGTATATTATTTCAAAATCCTAGTTTTCCTTTGTGAGAAAAAAATATGGCATGATATCAACAAAACAACAGCTTTCTATTTGTGACTGTCCATTAAATAAAGAATATTTAAGTTTCATTGTTGAAGTAACATCTAAATCATTGTAAGCCACAATTCACACATATTATTGAAAGATAAAATATTGTCACAATATTTGCCCCTCCGTATAAAGGGTTTTATTGTCACTTGGATAATTATTTCAGTATTTCATACACAAGTCAGAATTAATAACTGAATAACATATTCCTTTTTCCACTGGATAAAAGAATTTGGTAAACATAATTCATTTTATTATTGTAGAAGAGAATTATTACCAAAAGATATAATTATTATTAAACTTAAGCATCATAACAGTCCCACAAAACATATTACAAAATATTAGTTTTACATACTTTTGTTTTTATCCATCTTCCAACATAGTTATGAAGAAACAGAATTCATTTTTAGTTTAATTCTTAAAAGAAAAGGATTAATAAAAGACCCTACGTATAGAGAGTCAGAAAGTTCCAAAACTTCAGTCAGAAATGGCACACTTCCATCAGGAGAATGCATGCTACGGATAATTTCTCCATTGGAATTCAACTCTAGTATCAGTCCATATTTTGGGATGAGCTGGAAAATCATGGCAAAACTCTCTGCCTGTTGTGGTGAAAACAGAAGTTGCACTAAGAATTAAGTTTTACAGAGGATGCTAACTTTAATAGTTATGTATATACTTCAACCTAACACTTAAATAGGTGCTGGCTTATGTATATATATTGTACCTCACATCAAAAGATACACAGATATAACACTAGACATGTTACCTTACATGAATATATATATATATTACTACTCGAAATTACACAAGGTATGTTACATACTGTAATCTAGTTTTATAGATATAGACACACATACATATGAAAGTGCAACATTAAACGTTTCAGTTACATGTATATATATATATATATATTGTATTAAATCTGACTAATCAGAGATACCAGCTTACATGTAGTTGTAATACAAAATTAACAAAATAATTGTCAAAAGAGTATTGAGTGGTAGCAATAAAAATTTCATGTCATAGCAAGAACTAAGAACTTTTTTTTTTCAACTATAACAAAGAATTTACTTAAAATAATAGAATAATTTACCTGGAAAATAACATTACATGTAAGAAAGAATTTAACTAATAGAATAAGAACAATACTTGCACCGAATAATACATGTAATTACTTCATATAGGATATAGAGCAAAACTTAAATCACAGAAAAAAGAAGGCAAGAACATAATGTTTTATATTAGAAATAAATTGCACAGGAATTGAGCAATTCATATATAGAGTACTATTTTTTAAATTAGCAAGAGCAAGCTTAACTAATTTTTTTTTTACTAAATCAACTGAAGCATTTTATACTCTATAACAGTAGATTGAAACATCATTCATTTAAATTTAGAAATTCATTTAAATCTTGAAGTTCATACCTTAAATGCTAAATCCTTCAACATTGGTGAAGGCCAAATCTGAAGAACATAGTTAAGACATGAGGATGCAAAGAGAGAAAACCTGGCCATAATCTTTCTGACTAGAGGATACTCAGCTAAGTAGTCAAGTTTTCCCAGTGATGAAGCATTACGGCCTGTGCTAAGAGCTACCCAATAACCACCACTGGAACTTGGACGAATGTTATCAGGTTCTCCTGGAAATTTATCAGAAAATACCTCTGGTTTCTCTTTCTTAAGACCTTTCAAGGGAAGTCTGAATGATAATAAAAGAAAAATATAGGATAGTTTTATCACATAAATAAACTTACAAAACTAATGTGTATAAATAACACACTTATGCTGTAACCTAAAATCCTAACTTTCCTATTGCATCTTTCTGTATACATCTGTGAATTTATAAAATATAACCTTTATTTAACTCTTCTACACAATGATTAGTCTACCATATAAAAGAGTAAAGATTTTTCTGACTTTCAAACAGGCATCATAAAGGGGCCATCTAGTAAAGTGACCATTTGTTCCAAGACATATGTTATCAGTCTATCAACAGTAGAAATTGAAAGAAAATGTTTATCATTAGATAAAACTATGCCAACCATTACTGACTGACCAACAAAAAGGACAAAAAAAAGTTGGACTGAAGAAAACGTGTGAAAGTGTCAAAATTTGTACTCATTCAAATGTGTAGTCATTCCATGATAGTGGATCTAAACATTATTTTAGGTTACTTTTCTAATAGTAAGTAAATACACAATACCATCATGAATCGTTCTAGTGGTTCAAAAAAGGAATTACCTATTTGTTCTTCTTTATTATCTAATATAGTTCCACCAGCCTACAGCAAAAATGACTGAGTATTGTAATAAAACTTGGGCAATAATACTAAATGCATCATTGCATATTGTGTAGGGTAGTTTTAAGTTTATTTTACTACCTAGCAAATAACTGGCTACATAACTGTTCACAACCATTCATTTTAATGTAGTCTGAGGTTTATATGGAATCTAATAATCTACTACATGCATACGTATATAGCTGCGTACAGGCCATAGATGTAACTTAAAGTTTATATGGCAGGCATGACACCTGTAATATACCAATTATTAACTTATTGTTGCAACTGTACTGATGTTGCATATCATTTGTTTATGTACAAGGTTCTTGCCCTTTCATACACAATGCTCTTGACAAGATCGCAGTTTTTTTAACGACTGCATGATCAATTTCGGCCATGCTATACAAACATCTAGACTGTCTCCCACAACAGAAATTTTTAAGCTGTATTTTAAAAGATAGCACTAAGCTCAGTTTTGAGCATCAAATTGGCAATCATGGTGATGGCTGATGGTAAGAGTTGAATTATAGCCAACACTGCATGATTACACAATTTGATAGATACTACAGATAGAGTAATCATCCTTGAAGATGACTATAAGGAGTGGCAAGAATTGTGCAAGCAGGAAATGGCAATTCTGGGTGAAAGTGAGGCAGAAATATATATATATATTTTATTTAGAAAATATTTAGATAAAGTATACTGCAGCAATAGCCCACCAGAGTTTAGGGTCATCACAATGAAAGAGGGTCATGACCCAAACACCATCAAAAATAGAAGGGGGGGCGGGGAAGATATATTAAAATAATCAATTCATAATTGTTAATTAATATTCAACCTTTTAAATTACACAGAATGTCACAAAAGGAATCTGGTAAGCTGCACCAAAACCATGACTGGCCTTACTATAGCCAGTGGAGAGGTGAAAGAGGAAATATAATTTTTTTTATTAAGCCTTAAGGTTTGTTAACCAATGTTTTTCTCATGCCTAATTTTTCTTTTCGCATGTTGCTTATACAACATGCAAAGAATTTTCATTTTAAGATTAAAAAATACTTTTATTCACCAGACAATTTTCAAATTTCACATGCAAAATCTTTATAATGTCCAAATAGTTATCAAATGTTTCTTAAGAAAAAAACTTTATATTTTATCTGTTATTTTCTGTAATTAATCTCTGTACAGGTTTGGTAGATTTGACCGATCTTGCATCCACCATAAAAATATTAGGAAATGAATATAAATTATTACTCTTTCATTCTAGAATGAATACAGATTACAAGACGAAAACATAAATGTTTAGACTAAATAGCTTAAATCTCAAAACAGTATACATTTTTATATATTTATTTAATTGACCTTTCAGCCATGCCTGGCTAACAATACAGAAGTTACAATGATGCGGCACCCGTGCTCTTATGTTATCATATCCAATATTATAAAACTGACCTTTAGTCTTTACAAAGTGACCTGTCTTAGCTCTGTTTTAGAAGACTAGTATTTTGTAAAATACAGTCACATTTCCATTATTATACATTATTTTTATGTATATAGATTATTACTATTTAAAAGTAAGTTCTTAAACTTATTTTTCTTAAAACATAAAACAGTGAATAAAGAAGTAAAGCAAACAATTATCTCTTCTAGTTATAACCTTTGTACTCAATTACTGCTTGATGTAGGTTGCTAAGCCTTTTAAAATTTTGCACATGGAGGATATGAAACAAAATAATGTTTTTAGAATTTATGATTTTTTGAATAACCAAAAAATCATAAATTACTATATCAATACCACAGAATTCCACTATAATTTATCAAGCTCAGTAACTAAGCTGTATTTGGGTATAAAAAATATACAAGTTTTCGAGCAGATTAAAGACACAAACTAGCTCCTTGAAATCTTGGTTAGAAACAACAAGATGGCATCCTAACACATAAAAATGTCTGAGAAAGTCACTAGGGGGAGATTCTGAGCTTTCAATTGGTTATTCACATGTCATATATTGAAGTAAGTGTATATAAGAGACTGTTTCCAAAAATGGAAAGAGGTGAGCAGGGCCACTGTGTTTTATTCAGTACATGAGTAATATCTCAGCAAATAGAAAAGATACAAGGTTCTTATTTTATATTGTAGCTTGTAAGTATCAGTAATTTGAGTTCCTAATTCATATGAAACTATAGACTTAGTATTTTGACATTGTAAACATCTGCATTCAACATACCAAGTGACACACAAAAATCGATGTTTAACTGTGTTTTTTGTATAATACTAAAATTTGAATTATAATCTACAGTTTGATATCAAACTTATTGACATTAATTCATGAAATAGTAGTTCAATAAAATTTTGAAAAGAGTCAACAAACTCAGTGACATGGCCTTTGACCCAACTGGAGACGGTTAAATGGAATTAGGGAGCAAAGTCTAGAGAATGAAAGATTGGAAACATGATGTGGTCTAATGAGTAATGTTTTACCATTTTCTGTAATGATCGTAAAAATATGAAGAACAATCAAATAAGGCACTTGACCCTGTTGGGTAATTCTAACAGTAGAAGATGCTAGAGGTGGTGTAATGGTGCAGGAGATAAATCTATTGGTTTCTTTAAAAGACTGAATACAATCTACAGTGTACCTCAATGTTATTACAGATCATGTTACTCCACTTTGAAGAACAAGGTTCTAGACAAATGAAGCAATTCACCATGCTTAAATTGGTTTATAAAGTATGGCAGTGATTTGTCAAATTATTTTTTGGCCAGGAACACCCTCAGATCTCAATCTGATAAAGCATATTTTGGGTGAAATTGAGCAACATATTCACCACCATAATCTCCTGCTGATAATTGTGAACTAACAGCAGATCATAATCCTTGGTGAATGGACAATATAATACAGAGTACCTTCCAATATATTGTGAAGTCTATATCATACCAAGTCTTAGCTATTACTACAGCAATAAACTTGGTCCAATCAATAGCAAGGGTCCTAATAATGTCGCCAGTAAGTGCACATTTTTGGATTGAAGATATCCTATATATAGAGCTATATTTACAAGCTCAAACATGTGTACTTGTGTCAGAATAAAAACAGGTCATCTTGAAGCCTAACAAATAAAACAATAATCACTGTAATTATTTCATTACTGAACATTACTCAGTCTCTAAGCAGTTTGCACTGTAAAAAAACCAAATAAAAATGGCCTAACAATTTTTGTTTTTAGTTGATTCTCATAGTTTCCCAACAATTTATAAAACTTATAAATGTTTTATCAGACAAAAATGTTTTATTTTCCTTTGCATTATTATAATGAATAAAACTAATATGTATTAAATGTGTAATAATCAGTTTTGCAATTGTTTTTCATTTAGCATAAACTATACAAATTATAAAATAACACACAAAAGCTATTTTCTGTCACCACTCACTTCAAAATTCTTCGATTGCCCCATTCTGCAATTAGTAATGCAGATTTATCAGGAGTAAGCTGAATACCATTTGAAAAGTACAAGCCATCTGCAACAACTTTGGTTTCTTTTGTTTGAAGGTTAAAAGATATCACTCTAGAGAAGGAAAAGAAAAATAATGCTGGATAAACCAAATAAAATCAGAAAATCTGAATAGATCTGATAATACATGAAGTATATTAACAAAATAAATAACGAGCTCAAAGGAAAATGGTACAAATAGGTACCATACAAACCACAAAAAAATAATAACATATATATATACCCTGACCTGGAATACTTACCAAATATCATAAACAAAACATAGATAGCATAAAGAAAAAGGACTCTTAAAATTTAAAAGTTCCTACATATAGGTGAAGATCTATGAGATAAAAACAATTTTCTGGACAAAAGAGATAGAATACAAGTGGAACTTTGTACACAAATATCCCATAACAAAAACATAGAGCCTACTGAAAGAATAATTAGTATAATACTGAATTCCTACATAATACACTTTGGTTTCCTGGTAGGTAAACTTGATGCCTACTGAAAGATTAATTAGTATAATACTGAATCCCCACATAATACACTTTGGTTTCCTGGTAGGTAAACTTGATGCCTACTGAAAGATTAATTAGTATAATACCGAATCCCT